ACCCAGTAGCTCCTTGTAGACCTGCTGTGGGGTGGGGAGTGGGTCTCCCAGCCTGCTCGGCCTCTGCCAGGATGTTTCAACTGCATGCCTCTTTTTCCCTGCTGTAGTGGGGAAAATCCAGAAACATCAAGCAGGCTTTTTGCCCAAAATATCAGGAGGCTCAGGCCCCTGCAGCTTCCCCAAATGAAGACTGGAAGGTTTAATAGAAGACCTAGTAATCCTGCGTGATAAAAGAGGAAGGGGACTCGCCTCAGATAAACGAGACAGGTGATTTTAAAACTGTGTCATTCAAAAAGGGAACACTCTCCTCTCCTCTGAGGCACCATGGAGAGAAAGTAAGGGAGAACTGATCCGACTTTCTCATCCTCAGAGCCTTATATCTCTATTTTTCCGCCCCCCCCCAATCTCACGTCTGGGAGTCTGTTTTGGAATAGAGTGGTCAGATCCACAGTGATGTTGAATTACAAGTGAGTCACCTTTGCTGTGGATCCAAACAATCTCTGATCAAACTTGAACCGTGCACATTAATGACTACGAAGCCCCGTGTGGCATTTGTAGGTGATGCTCTGTCTTTAAACGTTTACCTACCCCTTTCCCCCATCTGTGAGTTTCTGGAACCTTCTTCAGGGAACCAAGGGGCAGAGTTTTCGAATGAAAGGAAACCTTGTCTAAGCACAGTAGCAACACATTACAAAGTGAGAGGGCGTGCAGAGGCAAAGGATCCTCCAAGCCGGGGGTTCTCAGCCCGCCTGATGCTGCAACGCTTTCGCACACTTCCTCATGTTGTGGGGACCCCCCAACCTCATGACTATTTTCGTTGCTCCTTCATAACTGTAATTTCCCACTGTTACGAATCATCATGTAAGTACCAGTGTTTTCTGATGGCCTTAGGCAGCCGCTGTGAAAAGGTTGTACCACGCCTAGAAGGGGAGAAACCCACAGGTTGGATTCGCTGATCTAAAACAACAGCTGTGCTCGTAAGAGTTTCGCTACCGCATGCTTTACACTGACGCTTCAGCCCCCTTCTTCGGGATGATGCCTTTCATTTATCTGTACATCGTGGCAGCACTTGATCTTCCCCCCGTACTCAGGTGTCTCTGTTTGGGTGCCATGTTGACCTGGACCAGCAGGTCATTCTTCTGAGTGAGAAGACCAGGGGTTCAGATGATACAGAGATAGAAGACGGGGAAGATAAAATTTGGGGCCCGGATGTCTTGCGCAAGCTATGTCTCGTGCCAAGCAAACGTAGTTAAGACATGCAGCACCTTATATACTGCTTCCAGGAGAGAAATGGGACGGAGTCAGGGAACCGATCACACAATGGAACTCAAGTCAGCAGGAGGCTAGTCAGGCAATGTTGCACAAAAGGAACACAGGCTATCTCCAGAGTATAACAGACAGAGCACACAGCAGCCATGATAACTCTAGTCTCTTCGAGGGGAAAGCCAAGTTCTCAGCAACTGAATCCTTAACTCCCTTGATGTTCCAGCCCCAGCTCCAGACTGGCCTTGTCGAGTCCAATCCGAGCAAGGATGCCAGAACTAGGTTCTTGTTTGTCTTTTCATCAGGACCTTGTGAAAGCCCTGGGTTGGTCCAGATCTCAGCAAGCTACGAGTGTTTGCTGTATGAGTGTAATTTCAGGGCTGACCACTTGGTATTGGATCCATTTGGTGAGCTCGTCCCTGGAGAAGGCTGCTTCTGCCAATCTCAGCATTCCTTAGTTGCCTGCATTTCTTTCCCTTGGGTGGGGGTTCCATGAGAATTACCTAACATTATATCATTATATAGACTGGCACATTATCTGTGTGTGTGTGTGTGTGTGTGTGTGTGTGTGTGTGTGTGTGATAACAAAGTAGTAGACACCGTAAACTTGAGAGAAAACAAGAGGGGAAGTACATAGGATGGATTGGCTGGAGGGAAGGGAAGGGAAGAATGATATGATTACATTGTGATTTCAAATTGTAAAAATGAAACTATAGCAAGAGCGTTTGCTGCTCTTGCAGTAGACCTGGTTCTATTCCTGGTATTCACATGGTGCCTTACAGCCATGTGTAAGTACAGTTTGGCTTCAGTGGCATGTAGCGACACATATACACTCATGCAAACAAACACCCATGCAGATAAAACAAAAAAGATACATCTCTAAAAAGTGAAATTTGGGCTAGAGAGTCAGCTCTGAGGTTGAGTATTAGTGTTCACCCAGAGGGCCTGAGTTCAATTCCCAGAAGCCACATGCCAATTTAGAGATCCAACACCTTTCTCTGCCATTCATAGCCACCAACAGTGCACATGATACACATATATACATGCAGGGAAAATACCCAAACATACAATATAAAATATTTTTAAAATTAAAACAAAAATAAAATCTCGTTCACAAGACATTTGGGGGAAAGCAGAGCATCTAATCAAATTACTTGTGACACATATTATACCAGTCCAAACCTACCTACCTTTTGTCCAATGAATCGTGGTTTTCAGATAATCTAGTTTGTCTCTGGTTACAATGTTTGGGTATTAAGGGACAGAGAGACTCTGTGAGCTATTGCAATGTTTGTGATCACTGGTGGTGTCAGAACCTGCGCAAAAACCAGTATACCAAGTTTTCAGGGCATGTGTGTGCTCAGAGAGGGGCCCCAGCTAAGGTGCCTGCATGAAGTTCACTTCTGTAAGATAACAACTTGTGGCTGTGAACAAACCCAGGGGAAGCTAGTAGAGAGGAAACTGCTTCCTTCCCATTGGCTACAACTGAGATTTTGATTTTGTGTTTTAGATTTGTCCTGATTAAAACTGCCATTAAGCGAAAATATTTTCTCTTGCAACAGTATAAGCATGTTGTGAGGATTTAAATATTTTGTTTCTTGAAGTATAATTGCTATATGATTGTGTTTTCAGAAATCGGGATGTAGTGATAGCTTTAGCCCTAAAAAATAAGATGAGCTGAAGACAAAATGATTCATGGGCTGAGTGAGATTTTCTTAAACTAATAATATGGCTGGCAAAGATGACATGTCAGGTGCCTCATTCCTTTCAAAGACCAAATCATGTTAAGAAATCACTTTACGATTTTAAATACTTTACACAATACCAGAGGAAGGTGTACTTAATGTGCCAAACACATCTACTTGTCTCCAAGACCCTGTTTCATTCCATCATGGTTCCATTTCCTAATGATGTGTTTATCAGGTCATTTTATCTGAGCTGTTCTGTCATTTAATTTTATTCACGTAGCCATGTTTACTGGTGCCATTATGCCCACCCAATTCTTCCTTCTGCATGCAACTCTGGCCTCTGTAAGCATCACCTTGGCGCTTTTTCCTCAAAAAACAAAACAAAACAAAACAAAACAAAAACATAGGGAATATCCTCTTTAAAAAATGTTTGTCCATGTAGCACAGAGAGGAAAAAAGTTACAGATGCACATGTGGCCCGCTTAGCATAAAATCTTCCGATGCAGATGTATTGCCCGGGACAATGTTTATGTTGTACATGAGGTTACATTTGACGCTCTGCAAATGCGACTCTGTTTTCTTCTCTCCTCTCACACCTCCCTGTTTAACAGCAGGGGGACCCAGGGAGCCTCGAGCGAACCCGATGACCCCGAGACGGGCTGTCTGACTGATAGCAAGCCGGCTTCTCGACGCTTCTACCCTGTCGCCTTGCTTCTCGTCAGCTCACACCTGCTCGTTGTGTGGCTTATTTTAAGTCTCGCGCTACTCTTAGCCAAATACCAATGAATTTCCGTGCTGTGTTCCCCCGTTTTCTACAAATGGCAATGGACTTTAATTCTGGGGACAATGTTGTGATGTTTCTACACTTTAAGATTCACAGAATTTAAAAAAAACAAACAAGCAAGCAAGCAAACAAACAAAAAAGAGAAATGTTCCCACTGTGGCTTTGTTTGTTCTCCCTAAAACCTAAGAGACAAAAAAAAAGTACTATGCATTAAGTGAATTATTTTCCTCTCTTGTTCGCTGAAAAGTGTTTTCCCACTGTTAAGTAGCTAAAGATGTGTTTTAAAATTACTGTCTTTGGAACAAGACAAAGACTAGAATCCTGAAAGCTTGAAGTTCTGAACCTCCCCTTCCTGTGTCATGCATTAAAGAAATTAGGACTGACATTGCGAAGCAGTAAAACCCTGAGACAATCTGGGAAGCAGGAGGGTGCAGAGTTTCTTTCCACTGTGCTAACAACATAGTTGCGATCAGCCGATAGAAGTGTGTCTGCTCTCCTCTGGTCCTCCTCGCCCGCCACTTACTCATTGCAGCTTTTGGCCTTCTTGTGTCGAGTAACTTTACGGAAAGAATGGCTGTTTATGTTTTGTAATTAAATTAACCTGTTTGTAACTATTGTTTGGGTTGATTTGGCTTTCAAACTACTTTTCTATTCTTTCTAATGAGGTCTCATTTGTGTCTTGATGCGCCATTTTTAGCACCTGTGACTTTTGTACTGTGGTTGAGGAACACTCCTGTTTTGTGAAGCTGGTACTTGGAGCAGGGTGCTGGGAAAGCCTTCTGCTGTCTTCACTACATAGCTAAAACAGCGAAGTCAAATAGGAACGGAACTTCCTTTTAAAAAATCTATAGGGCCAGACTTAATAAATTAAATGCCTTATTCCTAGAGCTGCATCCGTAGGGCTATGTGTAGATTTTAATGTGTTTTAAGGGACTAGTAGTTCATTTGTGGAAAAGTTATAAAAAGGCAGATATATTTATGAAACTAAAGTATAGATGTATTGTGGAGCACATTATATTTAAAGAGTTTATCAAAAGTTAAATATCTGTTAAGAAACTTACTCATAACTTTCCGAAGGCAATAATGGTATTGGGCCTGGCCTAGGATTTAATTTTTGTAAGATGTATCATCACATGTGGGGGAACAATGTAGAGTTGAATCTCTGTTATTTTTACTTGGACTGTTGCTGCAACTCTGCATTGAGCAAATAAAGCATATTTATTTATTCCATGTTTCATGAACTTGTACTTTTCCCCTTTCGCCAGAGAAGGATGCCGTATAGAGAATGTACTGAAGAATATCAAATGCAGAAGGTATGCTTTCAACATGCTGCAGCTGATGGCTTTCCCCAAGTGCTACCGACCTCCAGAAGGCACTTACGGAAAAGCTGACACCTAAGTTTACCAACATGGAAACAAACAGGAGTACAGCTACTGCTTGGAAGATCTCCACTTCTGTCTTTTTTGACTTTTATTGATATGAGTTTGTGGAGTGAGGTACTCCTGGGTGTCACTCATATCAAAACCAACACATCACTCATTAAGAGAGCGACCCCACACCGCTATGTCCGGTCTCTTTTCTCCTTTGTGTTAACTCTAACTGGTTGGGGTTAGTTCAGAAAGTGCAATTCCATTCATAGGGTATTTAAATTAAACAAAACATGTCTTGAGGAAACAAGGTGACTCCCGTGGTGCCAGAGGTGCCTCAGCGAATGAGTGCCACACTCCATCTAAACTGTAGAGAGGAGCTAGCGAAGTGACTGAGTTCACAGGAGGCTGCTTCAGAGTCTTGACTGCAGACGGCCTCACAGCCCACCTTACTGTGCTTCATGAAATGCATGCATAGTAAATGCAATCAGGTAACATGAACCCAAAGATGTGCGCAAACATATCTGCAAGCCATATCATCCAGTTCATATGAGATTCCACCGTCTATGCTGTAGATGAAAGTGTGGTTACAGCCACGAGCTATAACATAAAACCACGGATCTTTGAAGAACTCTGCTGGGGGCTGAGAAACCCACCTAGGGACACAGCAGCATGGCACTTTTAATGGTGCAATGGGAAAAGACTTCAAGGAACTAAAATTGCAGAGAAATTTAAGAATAGTGTCCTCTGGTACCCTAAATGAAAATCCCCAGGAATTTGAATTTTATTTAGAAAAAGTCATAGAAGTGAGAGACATTCTGTGTCTTAGTGTGTGAGTTTGTAGTCTATCATATGCCAATATATTTGGAATAGGGAACCTTATAACATACATGAGTCATAAGCAGTGATAAATTTACACAGCAATTTTAGTTAATCAGGATTTCAAATTTGTCCTTATAGAAAAATACCCCCATATATAAAGTTGCAAATGTTCCAAATTAGTGGTTTCCTTACCGAGCACATTGTGTAAGACAGCCATTCAAAGAATTGAGTAAATCAAGGCATCTCCCTTAGATGACTGCAGAAGAGCAAACACAACCACCCTTACCATCTAGTTCTTGAACTTCCTACCCTGTGACGTCTGTCTCCTCCAGATCACTACACTAGCTGTGTATGAAAATTCACAGAGGAAAGTCAAGTGGAAATTAGGAATTCTCACTGGAGTTGGTGCTCAGAGCTAAGCAATATGTGCAAATTCTGTATTCCTCCAGTTCTGACTGGAAAATGCTGTCCAAAGCATGTTTCTCCTCTGAGGACACTAGAGGGTCCCTACAGAGACTCCTCTTTGTTATCACATCAGTCAAGGGTTGTACTGTGTGTTTTTACAGGTCACATGGTAGCTCTTGGTCCATCGTTCAAGGGTGGTATTCTGTGGTTTTACAGGTAAGAGGGTAGCTCTTGGCCTAGGATGATAGCTGTAAACGTTTTCCAGATAGATCTCTAGTCCCATGTTGAGTTTTCAAAAGTCTGAAAAAGATGATATTTCAGCTAATGGCCTGTGACTATTGCCAAACTGTTTGTAGCCTTTAAGTAAGAAAAAAAAAAGCATCTACAAATGGAAATAATTGTCTTAGTGTTGTGAGAGCTAGTCTTATTTCAGTGATTAATGTAATCTTTTAATTGTTGGGTTTTTAACTAGGTGATAGGATTTCTGGTTATTCTCATTTACTGTATAGAGTTTAAGATAAAAAGAGTTGTGATGACAGAGGTTTTGTGTCTAGCGCTGAGCTTTTCTTAGTATCTTCAGGGGTGATATGCATCCCAGGATATTTTATATGATTTTTAGTTCATAAATATTTTATAAACAATAATTTTTGTTTATATATTTTTATAAATTAACCACCTTAACTCAAATATACTAAATATTTATTAACTGGAAAGCCTATAGTAAGGTTTTCCGGTTTTGTGTGACTTTTCAGAGGACATTTTTTCTTTGTCGATGAATGCTATACAGAAATACCAAAGTGAGACATGTCTATACTGTGCATGCCAAATGAACTTTTCTCGGCTGACAGCATCAGCATCATTTCCTACGGGAAACTTGCACCTGTACACCCTTCCAATAGAGGATCTTACCAAGGAAATTCTTATTTCCTAAGCATGATTCTTCCTATCCAAATGCACTCAGACAACCACTTAATGATTCATCATTGCTAAGACTTTCAGCATCAAACCATAAATGAAATGTTTTTAAACATCCCTTGTGCAAACACAGGCACAGTCACCTAGTTCTGTCACCTGCCATCATACTGTTCTATCCGTATTTTTACTCTCACTGAAAATCTGTATCGCAGGTATATCTAGGGAGAGTACATTGAGTCAAACAACTTATCAAGAAAATGACATTTCTAAACAATGCAGTCTTCTTTCTCACAAATAAGACTTTCTCCTACTCTCATCAAATGCAGGTATGAATTCTGCATTAACTATTTACAGAGCACCAGGAGAAACATACTTAAAGCACAACATGATAAAGCCATGATCATTATCCAAAGGTCTAGAGTGTGTGCATGTCCTCCAGACAGCTAAATATACACTTGAGAAATCTTATTGAAGCAGAGCCGTATTTGTGTATACTGGTTCACTGAATTCCCACCTCTGCTTTCTTCCTAAATATTGCCTTGAGTTTACCCACACACTGCTTAAAACATCTTCTAGATGCTAACATTTGGGTCAGTGTGGTAATCCATGATGTAGCTGATGAATTATATAAAATCAGGCAACTCCCCAGTCAGGGCCGTACTGCATATGGCCACTAGTCACTCACAATACTCATGGCTCTGACAAACTGTGGCTCCTTGAGAGCTGGCATTTATTGGATGATACACTCACCCTTTCACATGTTAGGTGGTTTGCATTAAGTAGAACTCCAAACAGGAAAGGGGGAAACAAACATGATTTTTTTCCAATCAAATCAAATCCCTCCCAATGTAAAGATACTGTAGCAAGAGACATTCTCCCAGGTGTGCCCAAACTGGCCCTAGTTGACTCAAGAGAAGCAGTCATTGACTTTTCAAGAATTGTACAGTTTAATTGCTGCACAGTCTCATGGCTAACCATAAGATGTGAAATGAATTTATTAAAAGTAAAGATGACCATCAAAGCTTACAACTTCCTGGATTTTTTAAAAACCAGATTTTGCAGTTTAACCCACTTCTAAATGTACTTGGCTCTGGTGGTCCTTCACTGTGCAAATACTGTATTGATAATACGCAACTGTGAATCTCCTGAACACAATGTTCATATCTTGTGATCAGTCACTGTGGGAACATTTACACCACAGAAACTGACAAGTTCTATAACCTAGGATGTTTGTATCCTGAAACAACAGTTGTTAAGCATTTACTAGTGTATGGCTCAGTACCACTAAAACTTGCTTCTCCAGAAAATAAATTTTTGGAGGGAGGTTACAATTATTAGAATGGGCTTTAAATGAAAGTAATCTTTAATCAGATGACTATAATTTTATGTTGGATTTTATTATCATTAATGAAATCTGTGTGTCTATACAGTGGAGTGGAAACATTTTATTAGTAATCATAATTACTAATATTAATCATCGTAATAATTATTAGAGGGATGAGTTTTAAAACTATCAGTAAATGTGCTGCAAGTGACCCTTAACAACATAGCCTTATTGTAAATAATTTCGGGACTTAAGTCAGGAAAATGTTGTTAATCATAACATCAATAAAATACACTCCGTCTCACTTTCTAAACATAGGATTATGGCTTTGCTGAGAGCGAAACAGAACCGTATCACTATCCAGTGTTAAGTAAGTTAAACACAGTTGAAGCCCAGACTGTTTGATTAAATGAATTAAACTCTGGCAATATGCTAAGACAACCCAGATATAGATATCTGATTCCTAAATGCCATTTATTTTAGTTCAATGTGAGGGACATATTATGTAATCTTATATGGACTAAATTAACTTCGGGGGTGTCAAGACATGGTTTGTCTTTTCACACATGTTAAGAAATCTTGTTTAAGAGACTGATCATCAGGGCGGAGGGAGACAGGTAGAGTGGAGAGAGGTAGGTGAGGCAGGGAGGCAGGAAGACTGGGCACAAAACAGTGCCACTACCTAGGAGCTGTGTACAGTGTGCACTCCTCACAATGGAAAATAATATTCAATTTGCTAAGAACTAGCATGGTTGATTGACAGGTTTAACATACACATATACTCATCCAGCCCATATCCAATCTGTGTAAGCTATGCCCCCTATATTTATGATATTAGCTTTATAAATAAAATGACTTTGTGTAGTTAACCTTCTCTTTCTCTGACAGCTTGAAATTAGAATTTTTATTGCACCTTTCCATGCAAAGATTCAAACACTGTCTTTAAAAATATAAAGATAAAAATCAACATTTTAGATAAAACACAATGTACCCGTTAATATGAAGTTAAGGAACGGGTATTTGCACTCTCTTCCTGAGCAACGAGGCATGTTAATTTCTCTTAGAATTTTATTTCTAAGACTACAAAATACATCACTTATGCTTCTGAGCTAAGAGACCCAGATAATGCCTAACTAGAAAAGGGAGACATATAAGGTAATATTAATATCTCAAATGGTAGAACCAGTTGTTTTTCCTGAACTTGGATTCTTACTCAGGTGTGCATATTTAAAGTCCAGACTTTAGCTCCCAAGAGCAGGGATATTAGGAAAATGTTTCTGCCCTTAAGTCATGTGCTGTAGGCATACACCAGTACACTCTATCTCTCGGTAACACTGGTCTTTAAACAAGGAGGTATATACCATTCTACACTGGAAGAATGTCTACAAAGATTTCATACTATTCCTGTGTATAAAGGGGCACAATGTGTCGGTATGGCTTTTTTGATGCAGGCTCTAGAGGCTGAATTTTGGCCAATATGCCTATAATATCTGTATATTTATTGGAATTATTTATATCACCATCAAGATCATAACCTGTCTGTGTTGAGCCTTCACACTTTTCAAATGGCAGAGCTGTTATTTATCTGCTCACGCCATCCTTTCTACGCACACTTTCTTGTGTGAACATTTTATCTTTTACTTTCATGCATTTTCAGATTCGTGAGGTATTCGTTTGAAAGGTTGGCACTTGCTTTCTTTTTATGTTAAATATGTACCCTAGATAAACCAATATTGTGTATTCCCAGGAAATGAACCACAAATAGATAGATCACTTTATATTAGCATTTGATGAATTATCACATTTGTTTTTATTTTGTGTAAGTCATATTCATTATGCACTGTATGTATATTTTTGTTGAAATAAATATGGTTTTATTTTTATGTTTCTGTCTTTTTCTCCCCATTGTACATTATTTTTATCGATGTAGCAACATTTAAACACTAGTGAAAATAACAAAAGATAGCCCAAATAACATTTCAAGAAAAATAGACCCCACTTCCGCTAGACCACAATAACAATGCATGTTCTACATTTATGATCAGTCAGTCTAATTTTGCTGGCGGAGTGGGCTTCTGTGGTTACCCTTCTTAGGGGAAACATCAAGCACAACCTCCAGAGTCAAAAAAGTTATAGATGGGCGATAGGTGGGTGGACAGATAGAGAGATAGACAGACAGACAGACAGACATGGACAGACAGACAGAGAGACAGATTAGATGGATAGGTAGGTGGGATAGACAGATAGATAGATAGATAGATAGATAGATAGATAGATAGATAGATAGATTAGATGGATAGATAAATTGTATGAATGGATAGATTAGATTGATTGATGATAGATTAGATGGACAGATAGGTTGGATGAATGGATAGATACATACATAAAAGCATACATACATACATACACACATACATACACAGACAAGATAGATTTAACCTACTGTGTCCAATAAGTGCTGTCTGCATATGTGTGTAGAAGATCATCCAGCAGGACACAGGCATCTTACCAGTGGCCACACTCTTAAAGAAATATGATTCTCCCTCCCCAAGCAGCCAACCTCTGACAACAGCTCCCCAGCTGTGAGTGAGGGAATCATTAGTCTTTGTTGTCTAGATACAACACAGAGTCATTATAATATACAAAACTAATTATTTTTCTTACAGACTTCTTCAAGCTGATCATTTGTGATTCTTTATGGCAGATAACAATAGAAGACAAATTCCAAAGGCATTAATTTAGATCCTTTTGCAAAGGAATTAAGCAAGTGGAGCCTGGGGGCACATGTTAAGAATGAACTTTTACCATCTGGTGTTTTTCAAGAACGTAGCTGAGACAGCAGAGAGAGGATCCCTTCTGTGGTGTCGTCCCCAGAAGTACGTGTTCTTACTAATAGTGCATCTTTCTGTATCAGCACAGGAGAGATGCTGGAAGTAGATATAATATGAGATGTTCCAAAGTAAATCGCAATAAAATTCTGCCCTCCAGAAAGCTGGGGAGTAGCCTGTGTGAAGTAGCACTATGTTACTGTCTTAAACATTCATATGTGGGCTCCTTGATCTCTGCAAAGGAATGAAATCATCAGTCAACGTAAGAATACCATAAGGGATCCAGGGAGTCTGATCTGGAATGCTGTTTTGATTTAGTCAGATGATTTAGGAGGATGCATTGCTATAATTGCTGATAGTCAAGGCAACGCCTGTTTGTGCCGTGTAGCAACCAAGACTTGGTTCTGTGGGTTTGTCCACCCATCCATTTACTAGTAAGCACTGAGTTCTATCTTCTCTTGATTTTGCTAAATAGTGAAATTCTTTCAGTAAGTGGTAAGTCAAACAGTGAGAGATGGGGAAAGTACATTGGAGTAGGACACAGGAGGGATGGCCCCATCCTGCTAACACCACACATAGCTTTTGTACCTGTGACTTTACTCTTCGGTGTAGTCTGAGTTTCAGAACTGTGAGATATTCACCTTCTTTGGCCTGGAAAGGTGGCTTCTCCCTCTTAATATGGTCATGAACTTCAGTCTGTCACCACATACTACTTAGTGACGATTCGACCCATCTGTGGTTTTTGTTCCTGCTTAAATACCCTCAGTCCCCATTACTCTGTATCTCCTGCTTTCTGTGTTCATTTCCTGCCTCTCATAAATACCCTAAGTTCTAGGTGAATTCTTCATCTTTGCCCAAGTAGCTCTCCTTTCAGACGCACAGCTACTGTTTCCAAGGAGAAAGCTCTAGAACCCAGTTAAGGAATGTGTATTTCTGAGTGGCCGTATCTAGAGAAACCACTAGTTCCCTGATCATTAGAGGAGGTCATATGCCAAGTTCTTAATGTTTCTAGATCTTCACCTTCTTACATATCTGTAACACGAAGGTAATAATATGGCTTGCCACATGGTGAAGCATGAGGAACCATGTGTGCGTGCATGGCCCTGATGTCAGTGACTCTAGGGCAGAGATCCATTCCTTTGCTGTCACTTTTATATCCTAGCCTCATTACGTTTTCCACCCCTACAGCCCAAGTACCTGAAATACAAGGGCTAAAACCTAAAATTTCATTGCTTTGCCACGTTTGCTGTGAAAGTTCATCCTGCAACATCCATCTGTACCCCACACAGAAGGTAGCAGGAGCAGGCGGCAGGCACAGCTGCTCTGCCTCCGTGTGGACGTGTGGGCAAGCTTCAGCAGAGCTCAGGCAGCGCGTGGGAGCCTATGTCTCCCATAGACACCCAGCTCTTTGCATCAGTGCGGGCAGAAGACCCCAAAAGCACATTTCCCTGACTGCAACATGACAATGGTGGCTCCTGATAACATTGACTTGAAGCCACAATTATCCATTTGAAATGTAACGTTTTAAAGTGTTTTCCCGGGGTTTTTATATTTTCTTCCCTTTATAAACTGTAGCATATAGTTTCCTGCCCCCAAATAATTAGATTCGCTTTGTAAAAATAAAATTGCTATTTTATTGTGACTTTCCTTTCTAATGGATATGTATCTTGGATGCTTTGTAAGCGGTGTTTTGGTATTGTCTTTCAGGGTATCTGTTTTCATGTTTTAGAATGTTAATAATTGCTTTGCTCTCTCTCCCCAGTTTATACATAGCGCCCCCTGCCTGTTCAAGGGATCAGCACATTAGTAACAAATATTTATAAGATTGAATTAGCTTTGACACTTCTTTGACTGTTGACACATGTCATCCCTCTTGTCACGAAGGTTGTAAATCTGACCACCACATAGCCTTGAAAGCGGTAACCTCCTCCTTCCATTGACAAAAGGGTTTCTTTCATATGCATCTTCCTTATAATGATAATTCCAACAGAAATAAGTGAAGTTTGCTATTTAATCTTTCGTACAATTTATCCTCATTTTAAGGATTATCTTCCAAAGTGGGAGTCTTTGCATAAAGTGCAAACACACACACACACACACACACACACACACACCACTTTGAGTTAAACAATTTCATTTTCTATTCCAGAGAAGTCTTATAATATTGTTTCAAATAGAATCAATTTCTTTTTGTTTTTAATTTTTACCTATATCATAGCTCATAGCCATTCCTTAATTTAATTGGTTTTTACTTGGTAGACTTTTATGGTACTAGGATCAAATCCAGGTCCTCAGGAATCCCAGGGAAAGGGATGCCTCTGCTACTCAGCCAATGTCAACGGCCATGTGAGGATAATAACAGGCCCCATTGGAAATCATGGAATATAGCTGGGCGGTTGGCAAAGCCACACCGGAGTGAGCCATGGAGAGGCAAACCCGGAGGACCACGTGTCCTGAGGACCTCATGCTGTTATTGAGCACAGCTCTGATTGTTGCCTTCGTGGTCACCACATCTCTCATAATCTATGGGTTGTATGGAAACCCTCAGGGGTTTCTCTCCCCTCACTGGGCAGTGTCACCTGTACTTACAACAGCAGTGATTGACTTTTTCCAAGCTTTGCTGCTGGAGCATGTTACTGATTCAAGCACCATCCTTGGAAGGATTTTCAGGGTTAGATGAGATTTGGAGAATGCAGACAGCTTTTAGGGAGAGGTGAGGATGTTACAGGAGGAAGCTAAGAAGGTCTATGAGGAAGTAAAGAGGGTAAGTGTCCTGCTAACAAAAGATTCAATCTGGGGCTTCTCCAAAGGGACTGAAAGATTTGTCAGATAGAGTTGTGCCAAATCACAGGAAAAAGCTTTCCCTTTCCTTGTGAAGGGGGCCTATTGGGGTGGTTGAAGCTTCCTGGCAGGCTGGCTTTCATAGTAAAAATAAACAAAACAGGTATATCATAGTGATACTCACCCAGTAGGAGAGGAGAGACAAGTGGTTGAAGCAGGAAGAGGGGAAAACGGCTGGAAGAAATGAGTAAATGGAATTATCACAAGAGCTGAGATTAAAGTAAGGGGGGATCACCTTTAGGAATTTCCAATTTAGTGTCTGGGGCCAGAACAGCAGGGAAGACAAACCCTGTCAGCAAGGCTTCTTTGTTAGTTTCGGGTGCACAGCCTCTCCAAGCTATATTCCAATACCCACAAGCATTTTGTAAATTAACTCTTGCGCTTCTTTCCCCAGTGACTCATCCTGCCAGAAGTGCTGACTGGTAGTGGCCATGGCAGCAAATCCCACCAGCCCCTTTTATGCTTCTCAGGACGTCCTCTGGAGTGATTTCCAGTCAAGCATTGCAGGGGAGGCCAGTCAGGATAAGGACTCTTCACTGCCTCCTTCTTTGCTCCTGAAGGAGATAACAACAAGGGTGTTCCCTCACGAAGTCGGGAGCAGAGGGCTCTGGAGCCCATAGGGGCTCTTCGTGTTCAATAACAGTCAAGACCGTCTTTCCTTAGATTCTCCTTGTCCCATCCTGAGGAAAAGGCATGAAAGACAACTGAATTACACACCTGTCTTTACCCGGCATGCGGTGTCCGAGGAGTTCTGACACTCTTGGGTGAGAAACGATCTCCACTCGAGACCAGAGAAGTTCCTTGTCCAGGGAAATCTCGGAAGATGTCGTTCCCAAGTCCCTGTTCAGGCACCAGTCATTGCTGTGGTTAAGTACTAGCCGTCAGCAAACCAGAGGGAAAGGGGACTCCACAGAGTCAGCAAGCTAATCACTCAACATGGCTTATCAATCTTAGGGAGTAAAATTACTATTCCCTGGGACAGCGAGGGGGTGGGGCAAAACGTAACTTTCTGGGGCTGGCAAAAAAAAAAAAACATAACAAGAAATAAAACTGAAAACACACACCTTTAGTATCTCTCTACCATTTTCTCTCTTCTTTATTTCTTTTCTTACCTCTATCCAGATGTATCACTTCTGTCTCCTTTGATGTTTTCCTCCTAATTTTATTTTCCTGAAAGTGTTTATACAAAGCAAAATCATTTCCAGCAGTATAAA